TTACATTTTTTTAAATTTATTTATTTATTTTTATTAATTAATTAGCATTAATTATTAACATTAATTAGAAGATCTGCAAACCTACAGCGGGACACTTCTGGTCTACATGTGTGTGTTACAGTTAATAAAAGTAAAAAAAAAAAATATAATACTCTGTACGGATTCATAAAATAGTTATTATTATTATTATTTTAATAGTCAACCGGCCACTATTATTCTGGTCAATCGTCAGTAAATTTAGTGATTTGTCATTTGACTGTTTGCTGTCCCTTGTGCCTGTGAGCAGGACACCATCTCTGCCCCGGCCGCCTACCTCTGCTCCGTCCTGCCCGGGTCCAAGTCTCCTTCACGCTCGCCCCTGATGCCCTCCCGCATGCCGCTCGGAGGAGGAGGAGTAGGAGGTGGAGTAGTGCCCCCCGGTGGTGGAGGAGGAGGAGTAGGAGGTGGAGTAGTGCCCCCCGGTGGTTGGTGGTGGAGGAGGACCCCACGTGGGAGGAGGGGGAGCGCCGGGGTTCCAGGCGGTGCCCCTGTCCCCTCACTCCCCCCCGTCCCCCCTCTCCCCTCAGCAGCAGCAGCAGAACCTCCAGAACCTGAGCAGAGTGCAGCCCAGCGCCGTGTCTCTGCCCGCCGCGTACAAGCCCACGCCCTCCATGTGAGTCTGACGGCGACGCGTGACCGTAAACGTACGATGTGAGCGAAGTATACGCGCGTCACGAATATCGGACTTCAGGTCATCGCGCAATCCACACTGGGAAGGATTTTCTGAAAAAGCGAGCGTCAAACCTCCGTGCGTCTGTTGTCAAAGTCGATCTTTTCGAGTCTTTTGAACCATTTCGCTTTTGTTTCTGGTTCTGATATTGTCATATTTTAGTTTTGGGATTCGGACATCGTTAATTGTTGTGGTTGTTGGATCCTAACAGCGGAAAACGGCTCGAGAAATCTGTTTGTGAACTCCATAAATGCAAAAGTGAATCAGATGTGTGTGACTCAAACCTCTGTTCAAACTGTTTCTCTTCCCAACGGAATTGAAAAATAGTGAAAGGTGAAGGTGATGGGCAGGATTGATCCACAGGAAGAACCAAAAAGGAAACATTTGACTGACTAAATCATCCCAAGTTTACAGAGAACATTTTGTATGTGGAGCGACGACAAAACAAAATCCCGTTTGTTAATGTAGAGGAGCAGAAGACAAACAGACTGAGCTGCACTTTCTTGTTCTTGTGGTTTTACAGCAACATCACGTCTTGGTCTCTTTGCAGTGGAAGGTGTTTCTTGGTGAACAGTTGGTGCCTTTCGCTTTGGCGTTGACTTTTATAAATTTGTAACCGAGGGATCGGGGTTTTGTTTTTTTGGCGCTCCACATACAAAATGTTCTCTGGGTCGTTCACACCAAAGCATCAAAAAACACCTCGACGCTTCTATTTGGAGCCTTTGCATTTGAGTTCAGACGCCCCCGACAAGCGTTTTTAATGCCGTGGACTAACGAGACAAAAATACTTGACGCGCGTCCGTTGCCCTGGAAACAAGAGCCCGGTCCTGGTCTTTTCCCGAAACAATGTCAGACCAGACTGAGAGACTTTAGTGTTTTTATGACATAAAACATCAGCGGAGGAAATCGACTCGACGACTGGAGCGAGTTTATATTTATACTCCACTAATGACACTGGATCAGTCCTGGTTTAGTCCCGGTCTTAGTCTCGGTCTAGTCCTTGTTTAGTCCTGGTTTAGTCCTCGTGATCGTCTCGGTGATTGTGGTGTATATATTTATTCTTCGTTCATGTTTGTGTCTCTGGTTCTCGGGTTTTTCTTCCTGATAATAACGTCGCTGCGTCTCTGGATACTCGTCCCTGATTGGTTGAAAGTTCGAAAAGTTCAGCATTTTCAACTTCCTTGGACGCGCGTCTAGAGCGTCGACGCCAGATTCGCACCGCGCTGACGCCGAAGACGCGCCGCAAAAACGCAGGACGCTCTAGTCGCGCGTCCACATCGACTTTACATAGAAACTGGACGCTTTGACGCTTTGGTGTGAATGAACCTTAAGTCGCACCGGAGAATAAGTCACAGGAAACACACAAACCATGAAACAAAGTGACACTTATAGTCTGAAAAATACGGTACATTAGACGATAAAGAACGATTTTAACACATAGACGTTTCTGATGTCATTTGTGTTGTTCGTTCTGTTTCAGTTTCGCGGAGCCTCTTGGTGTCTAGAGCATCGACGCCAGATTCGCGCCGCGCTGACGCCCGAAGATGCGCCGCAAAAACGCAGCACACCCTAGTCGCGCGTCCACATCGACTTTACATAGAAACTGGACGCTTTGACGCTTTGGTCTGAACACCCCTTTAGACAGTCAAAGTTTTCCTTTTTGGTTCTTCCTGTGGATCAATCCTGCCATCACCTTCACCTTTCACTATTTTTCAATTCCGTTGGGAAGAGAAACAGTTTGAACAGAGGTTTGAGTCACACACATCTGATTCACTTTTGCAGTTATGGAGTTCGCAAACTTCCGAAGACCATTTCTCGAGCCGTTTTCCGCTGTTAGGATCCAACAACCACACAACTACGATGTCCGAATCCCAAAACTAAAATATGACAATATCAGAACCAGAAACAAAAGTGATATGGTTCAAAAGACTTGAAAAGATCGACTTTGTCAATAGACACATCCCACTGGGAAAACAAACATGGAGGTTTGATTCTCACTTTTTCAGAAAATCCTTCCCAGTGTGGATTGCACGATGACTGGAAGTCTGAAATTCGTGATGCACGTATAGTTGGAGCTACATATAATTTGTAAACATTATCCGGCACTGATATATTTATAGCAAGTTCTGTATGTGCGCAGCAGCTTCAAAATCACACACGAAGACACTAAGGCTGCGTTCAGACTGCAGCCTGAAGTGACCCAAATCTGATTGTTTTGGCCCCTATGTTCCTGTATCTGATCTTTTAATGACAGTCTGAACCACACAGATCCGATTTTTTGAAATGTGACCCAGGACACTTGGATATGTGCTCCTGAAACTGATACATATCTGATCTTTTGAACATGTGACTTCAGTGTGAACGGTCCAAAGTGCATTCATCCACCTACACGTTATCAACAAGACACAAACGTCACTATTCTGCGCTGAAGTAGGTGAAAATTGTTAATGAACTCCGTGTGACTGAAGTGAAGCACATCACCACTCACCACTCTTGGCTCCGTCTCCACATCCACACGTTCATTTCAACGAACGTCGCTGCCGCTGCCCCACAAAACACCACGACCAAAAACCTCGTCCTTCTCCTTCTCAATCTCCTCCTTAAAGGTTGTATGGAGGATTTTTTTTTTTTTTCAAATTGTTAATGAAAGTTTAAAATACCCTTACAGAAATGCAGCAGCCTTGTAATTATGCTGATTAAAGAAAAAAGAATGAAAATCTGTAATCTGTGGACATAATGAGGGCAGATAAACATCAGCCAATAGATAACAAGGCTACCTCATTTTCTATTGGCTGTTAGGGATTATGTGGTTTATGCAGCAGTTCTTAGAGGCTTTTTTTAAAATTGTAGTTTCCTCGCAGTTCGCACAAAGTTTGTTGAGATGATGGACAAAAATCCACGACCAGTTCGCCACAAACGAAAGTCCGTTTTTGAGGTCGCTGAAAGAAGAAGAGAAGAAGAAAAGGGAGCAAAGCCAAACACGTGATTCTTGGAGATCTCTTCCAGCGATTGCGCGAATGAAGCAAAGAGTCTAAAAACTGACGTGCCGGTCGTTAAATTATTTCTAGACAGGTCACTTCAGCAGTAATTCTGAACACGTGCTGGATGTAAACAAGTGTGATTTCTAGAGTAAAGAGGCGGGAGGAGGAGATGTTTCTACTGATGGAGCTGTGGAAGAGGAAGGTGGTGTCACGCATGCACAACATTTGAAAAAGGACTGTTGCTGTATTTCTTTTCCCTTTAAAACATCCTCTATACAACCTTTAAAACAAGTAAGTTGTTCATGTTCTGGCTCCGGTACGAGAGGAACTTTAAAATCTCCAGGTGCTCGATGCTGCGTCCATGTTTGGACAACTTCCGTAAACACAGAGACGCTCGCTGCGGTTGACGTCGTCGTGTCTCCAGTGTCACATGTGGGACACTTTCGGGCCGTTTAACGTTCACACTGGAGTCACATACAAGTCGCATTTAATCGGAAATGTGAACGACCTCGCAAAAACATCGGATTTCACAAAAAAATCTGAATTGAGCGTTAAGCCCTGCAGTCTGAACGTCGCCTAAGTTGGGTCGGGGAGAAGCAAATCGCAGCCGAAATCGATCAAATTCTCCTGTAGTGTAGAAACATTTGTATTCTCAGTCTCAACAGTTTTAAAAGTCCTTGGGGAACATACCTTAATTGATGTTAATTAGTTAGAGAAGTCGTCTACAAACCGTCCACTCGACCCTCAGAGGCTCGAGTCCCACTCAGACCAAGTCCTGTCATTGTGCCTTGTAGAGATCGTGCTTTTGTTCTTTCGTCTTATTTCCTCTCCTCCTCTTTCTCTGTTTCCGTCTCTCTGTCTCGGTCTCGGTCTCAGTTTGCCGAAGCCCATCCTGAAGAAGACCATCGCCCCTCGTCCGTCCTCCGCTCGCTCCACGGAGGAGGACATCCAGGGCTCCAAGGACGCCCTGATCCAAGACCTGGAGAAGAAGCTCCGGTCCAAGGAGGCGCGCAGGAGGACCAGCCAGGTACGGACCACACCGGGTTTAGTCCTGGTTTAGTCCTGGTTTAACCCTGGTTTAGTCCTGGTTTAGTCCTGGTTTAGTCCTGGTGTAGTCCTGAGTTTAGTCTTGATTTAACCCTTTTTAAACCTTGGTTTAGTTCTGGTTTAACCCTGGTTTAGTCCTGGTTTAGTCCTGGTTTAGTCCTGGTTTAGTCCTGGTTTAGACCTGGTTTAGTCCTGGTTTAGTCCTGGTTTAGACCTGGTTTAGTCCTGGTTTAGTCCTGGTTTAGTAGTCCTGGTTTCCTGGTTTAGACCTGGTTTAGTCCTGGTTTAGACCTGGTTTTAGTCTGGTTTAGTCCTGGTTTAGTCCTTGTTTAGACCTGGTTTAGTCCTGGTTTAGTCCTGGTTTAGACCTGGTTTAGTCCTGGTTTAGTTTTGGGTTTGTCCTGGTTTAGTTCTGGTTTAGTCCTGGTTTAGTCCTGGTGTTTGAGTCCTGGTTTTTCCTGTTTAGTCCTGGTTTAGTCCTGGTTTAGTCCTGGTTTAGACCTGGTTTTAGTCCTGGTTTAGACCTGGTTTAGACCTGGTTTAGTCCTGGTTTAGTCCTGGTTTAGTCCTGGTTTAGTGGTTTAGACCTGGTTTAGTCCTGGTTTTGTCCTGGTTTAGACCTGGTTTAGTCCTGGTTTTAGTCCTGGTTTAGTCCTGGTTTCCTGGTTTAGTCCTGGTTTAGTCCTGGTTTAGTCCTGGTTTTAGTCCTAGTTAACCTGGTTTAGTCCTGATTTAGTCCTGGTTTAGACCTGGTTTTGGCCCAGTTTTGTCCTGGTTTAATACTTGTTTAACCCTGGTACAGACCTGGTTTAACCCTGTTTTAGTCATGGTTTGGTCTTGGTTTAGTCCTGGTTTAGTCTTTAAACTTTGCCCTTGTGTGTAACAGAAGCTGTCCTATGAGAAGTCCTAGTTTAGTCCTGGTTTAGTCCTGATTTAGTCCTGTCTTAGTCTTGATTTAACCCTTTTTTAATCTTGTTTTAGTCCTGGTTTAGACCTGGTTTAGGCCTGGTTTAGTCCTGGTTTAATACTCGTTTAGACCTGGTTTAGTCCTGGTTTAGTCCTGGTTTAGTCCTGGTTTAGTCCTGGTTTAGACCTGGTTTAGTCCTGGTTTAGACCTGGTTTAGTCCTGGTTTAGACCTGGTTTAGACCTGGTTTTAGTCCTGGTTTAGTCCTGGTTTAGACCTGTTTAGGGTTTAGACCTGGTTTAGTCCTGGTTTAGTCCTGTTTTAGTCCTGGTTTAGTCCTGGTTTAGACCTGGTTTAGTCCTGGTTTAGTCCTGGTTTTAGACCTGGTTTAGTCCTTGGTTTAGACCTGGTTTAGTCCTGGTTTAGTCCTGGTTTAGTCCTGGTTTTTAGTCCTGGTTTAGTCCTGGTTTAGACCTGGTTTAGACCTGGTTTAGTCCTGGTTTTAGTCCTGGTTTAGTCCTGGTTTAGACCTGGTTTAGTCCTGGTTTAGTCCTGGTTAGACCTGGTTTAGTCCTGGTTTAGACCTGGTTTAGTCCTGTTTAGTCCTGGTTTAGACCTGGTTTAGTCCTGGTTTAGTCCTGGTTTAGACCTGGTTTAGACCTGTTTTAGTCCTGGTTTAGTCCTGGTTTAGACCTGGTTTAGTCCTGGTTTAGTCCTGGTTTAGTCCTGGTTTTAGTCCTGGTTTAGACCTGGTTTAGTCCTGGTTTAGTCCTGGTTTAGTCCTGTTTTAGACCTGGTTTAGTCCTGGTTTAGTCCTGGTTTAGTCCTGGTTTAGTCCTGTTTTAGTCCTGGTTTAGTCCTTGTTTAGACCTGGTTTTCCTGGTTTAGACCTGGTTTAGACCTGTTTTAGTCCTGGTTTAGTCCTGTTGTAGACCTGGTTTAGTCCTGGTTTAGTCCTGTTTTAGTCCTGGTTTAGTCCTTGTTTAGACCTGGTTTAGTCCTGGTTTAGTCCTTGTTTAGACCTGGTTTAGTCCTGTTTTAGTCCTGGTTTATTCCTGGTTTAGACCTGGTTTAGACCTGGTTTAGTCCTTGTTTAGACCTGGTTTAGACCTGGTTTAGTCCTGGTTTAGTCCTTGTTTAGACCTGGTTTAGTCCTGGTTTAGACCTGGTTTAGTCCTGGTTTAGTCCTGTTTAGACCTGGTTTAGACCTGGTTTAGTCCTTGTTTAGACCTGTTTTAGACCTGGTTTAGTCCTGGTTTAGTCTTTAAACCCTGTCCTCGTGTGTAACAGAAACTGTCCTATGAGGAGAGGATGGCTCGCCGGCTGCTGGGGCCCGACAACGCCACCTACATGTTCGACCAGGAACTGTCCGACTCCCTGGACCAGGTGAGAGCAGAACTGTGGTTCCAGTTTCACCTCGACTGTCAGAGGAGACGTTCACCACTCACAGAACCGTAGTTACATCACTTTTGTCACTCCTCCTGAAGCTTTACTCCGCCGTAAGCAAAATCTGAAAATCCTCCAGACAAAACTCAAATGTCCTGGCTGTAGTTGATTCTAAAAAGACCAAAGACTCTGATACAAATGTCAGATTTTTAACAAATATGCACGAAAAAATAAAGCAAAATAAGGCCAGGGATAGAGATGAATTGTCAACAAAGCTCAAAACATGTAAAACTGGTTGTGAATCATTTAATGTTTGCAGATGACTTAGTTATTTTCAGTCCAAGCACTTCACCTGTGTTCAGTTTTACGGTGTGGAGCATGATCTAGATCAGGGGTGCTCAATACGTCGATCCCGATCTACCAGTCGATCGCCAAGGTCGTGTGGGTAGATCTCCGTGTCTCGTCTCGGTTTGGACTCGGTCTTGTCTCTCACTCGAGGTCTGACACTCAACAAGTGTGATCATATTTCATTCCGGCCGCTGCTGTTGGTAATAAACTTGTAGCGGGTGCAGGAGCGTGTGGGGCGTCTCAGTGCAGCCTGTGCGCTCATTTGAAACCCGCGGAGACTCTACGGCGCATCACAAACACACACGCTCCCTATGCACGGCTCGTCTGCGACAGCGTGTGCCCTCGTGTACCAGCGTGCATCACAGGGCAGGTTCAACTTCCTAAACATCCTACCTGTCCACCTGCCTCACGTCAGCACGCCGCCCCTCGCCTTTTCACGCTCTCGCTCCTTCCTGCGTACAGCCAACACAAGCCCCTCCCACAGTGCGGCTGATTAGAAGAACAAGACCAAACGTGAAGCAAAAACCAGTCTAAATTTGTGTTCCAGTGTTGGCACAAAGCAGGTCTACAGCATAGAGCGGATCTACAGAACAGACCTACTGCCACATTTGGCTGAAGTTTGTCTAACAAAAGTGACAAATGCATCTGTGTTTGTCACGATGTGCGTTTGGTTTGGTAAACGTGCAGAGGCTGGTAAATATCACTGCAAAACCAGAAAAGAATGAAACTCCAGTTTGGAACTTTAAAAAACAGGTTTAAAAATCTTCCTTCACTTTTTTCACAGTTTTGTGTAAAGTGCCAGAGGAAGTTCTCTTAAAGAAGAGGTTCTCAAACTGTGGGGGAGGGTCCAAAAAAGGGGCACAGAGTGTTTCAGTGCAGTTTGTTTGACTTTGTATTAGGAAGATCATTTTGACTTGGTCATTTTGTAAGTAGCTCTGTACTAAAGTATAATTCAACCCAGAGTTTGGTCATGATCTGTAGGACCAAAGACGACAAGCACATGACATATCCTGACTTTTGCCTGTCAAATGTCGTGTTGTCTGTTACGACAAAAATAAAACACCTCGGACTAAGAATTTTAATCTGACAATAAAATAATAAAGTCACTCACAATCTGAGATTCAGTGCAGTAAGATCAGTCGAGTCTGTGGAGACACTGGTGTGACTCTTTTTAAAAACATAAATGTTTGTTGTTGTGAATTGTCTCTGTCCTTGTCTGTTTTAAAAATGGACCATGATTCCAATTTGGATGTTTAGTAGGGCTGGGTATCGTTAAGAAGTTACCGATACGATACATATCTCGATACATAGGCCACGATACGATACGCTTTTCTGTACAGTGAGCTTTCGATTCAGTACAATTCGATACAATTATATTTTCAAAAAGTGAATTTGAAAAACATCCATTTTACTCAAAACAGTGAAAATGTCAACACAACTGTAGCTCTTACACAGACTAATTTAGTGAAAATATACCTAAAATACTCTTGACGATATATCGATGCAGCAGCCCGCAATATCGATACTGTGTCAGCACATTAAATGATACGATATATCGATATTTTGATATTTTTGCACACCCCTAGTGTTTAGTGGCTCTTTAAAGTGGGACTTAAAGGTTGTATGGAGGATTTTTTAAGGGAAGAGAAATACAGCGACAGTTCTTTTACAAATGTTGTGCATGCGAGTTTTTAGACCCTTCGTCCGCTTCACTCGCGCAATCGCTGGAAGGAATCTCCAAGAATCACCTCAGTTTGTCTTTGCTCCTTTTCCCCTTCTCTTCTTCTTTCAGCGACCTCAAGAACCAACTTTCTTTTGCGGCGAACTGGTCGTGGATTCTCGTCCGCCATCGCAACAAACTTTGTGAGGAAGTGAACAGTTTGAAAAAGCCTCTAAGAACCGCTGCATAAACCACGTGATCCCTTGCATCCCGACGAGTCAATTACACTAAAACGTAGGGAGTTTGATTGATGATGACCTGACAGCCAATAGGTAAAGAGGCAGCCTCGTTTTCTATTGGCTGATGTTTTATCTGGCCTCAACACGTCCACAGTTGATAAATTTTTTATTCTTTTTTTTTTGGTCATCGTAATTACAAAGCTGCTGCGTCTCTGTAATGGTATTTTAAACTTTCATTGACAATTTGAAACAAAAAAAAAATCCTCCATACAACCTTTAAAGGTTGTATGGAGGATTTTTTTTTTTTTTTTTTGTTTTAAATTGTCATTGAAAGTTTAAAATACCATTACAGAGACGCAGCAGCCTTCTAATTATGATGACCAAAAAAATCTATCAGTTGTGGACGTAGTGAGGCCAGATAAACATCAGCCAATAGAAAACGAGGCTCCCTCTTTTTCTATTGGCTGTTAGGTTGTCAGTCAAACTCCCTACATTTTTAGTGTAACTGAGTCGTCGGCGCTCGGGGATTACGTGGTTTATGCGGCGGTTCTTTGAGGCTTTTTCAAACTGTAGCTTCCTCGCAATTCGCACAAAGTTTGTTGCGACGGCGGACGAGAATCCACGACCAGTTCGCCGCAAAAGAAAGTCCGAAGGGTCTAAAAACTGACGCGTCGGTCGCTAAAAATATTTCTAGGCAGTTCACTTCAACAGTAGGAGTGTGATTTGTAGAGTAAAGAGGCGGGAGGAGGAGATGTTTCTACCGAGGAAGGTGGTGTCACACATGCACAACATTTGAAAAAGGACGGTCGCTGTATTTCACTTCCCTTAAAAAATCCTCTATACAACCTTTAACTCTTGAACGCTTAAATACTTGAAGTGAGTTTGTTTATTCCTCTGATCACAGTCACATTCCTGTTGTTGTTTGTGGGCGGCTGGTGTGTGGACTCTGCTCCTCAGGTTATCTCCGGGTTACGTCGATACTAAACAAAGATTTATCGACGAGTTTTAACACAGATTTTCAGAGTGAGATCGTTGCTCTGCTGTCGGACGCCGGACGCCGACGAAGCGCAATGGAAACTCAGTGAAGAGTATGGATTTACTCTGATCGTGTTGGTTTAGCCCGAGCTGTCCCCGCCTGTCTCTGTGTTTGGGAAAACCAGGACTAAACCAGGACTAAACCAGGACTAAACTAGGACTAAAACAGGACTAAAACAGGACTAAAGCAGGACTAAACCAGGACTAAAATAGGACTAAAATAGGACTAAACCAGGACGAAACCAGGACTAAAATAGGACTAAACCAGGACTAAACCAAGGCTAAAATTGGACTAAACCAGGACTAAACCAGGTCTAAAACAGGACTAAACCAGGACTAAAACCAGGACTAAACCAGGACTAAAACCAGGACTAAAACAAAGACTAAACCAGGACTAAACCAGGTCTAAACCAAGAGTAAAACAAGGACTAATCCAGGACTAAACCAGGACTAAACCAGGACTAAACTAGGTCTAAACCAGGACTAAACCAGGACTAAACCAGGACTAAACCAGGACTAAACCAGGACTAAACCAGGTCTAAACCAGGACTAAACTAGGACTAAACCAGGACTAAACCAGGACTAAACCAGGACTAAACCAGGTCTAAACCAGGTCTAAACCAGGTCTAAACCAGGACTAAACCAGGACTAAACCAGGTCTAAACCAGGTCTAAACCAGGACTAAACCAGGACCAAACCAGGACTAAACCAGGACTAAACCAGGACTAAACCAGGACTAAACCAGGACTAAACTAAACCAGGACTAAACCAGGACTAAACCAGGTCTAAACCAGGTCTAAACCAGGACTAAACCAGGTCCAAACCAGGACTAAACCAGGAATAAACCAGGACATTAGTGTCTCGACGAGAGACGAGTGAAGAGTGTGGATTTCCTCTGATCGTGTTGGTTTAGTCCGAGCTGTCCCCACGTGTTTCTGTTCATCCGGACTCGTCCTCTGTGTCTCTGTGTTTGGTCCGGTCCTCATTTGGCTGTGCCCCCCCCCCCCTCCGAGGGCCTCGTGTCCCGTGTCCCGGGTCACGTCCTCCGTCCTCCGCAGCCCATTCTCCTGTGCCCCAGTTAACGACGAAAAACAAACAAAAAAGCAAAACTCAGACCGAGATCCAGACACTTCACATCCTTAATGATCTGTCGTCTGAATCGGTTTCATTCACGTTTTAGAATCTGATGACGTTGGTTTCTGCAGTGACGTCATGTCGGTAACGGAGGGAATGAAATATGCAGCACTTTTTGGTCAATAAATCCAAACAGTGATAACTCTTGGTTCTCACTTCCATATCCTTAACAAACTGGTTTGAATATTTGCTTCATATAGTTTTCTACCATATGGAACAAGATTAGGTGGAAAAACCTCTGACTTTTTGACGCATGAGATTTTTTATTAAGAAAGTTCATGGTAACGGAGGGAAAAGTAACGGAGGGAAAATTGTACAAACAAGTAGAAGGTGCAGGATTTTACATCATTTGTCGCTTTTTTCTTCTGAAAACTTTAATATTACTTCAAAATGAAAGAAACTACTTCTATAAATCAAAAGTGTCAAACTCATGTTGTTCCGGGCGTCGTGTCCAACCGACTTTGATCCCAAAGTGTCTGGATCAGAAAACTCATGTCATATAAACCCCAAAATAACAATAAGTTCAAATATTTGTGCAGAGAAACACAAATCTATTACAGAAATCTTTTTGAATTGATGAACTCTTTCTTTTTACAAATATTTATAAACATTATGTAACAACCTGAAACTTTAAGAAAAATACAAATTCAACACAAAGTTTTAACATGAACTTGTCTGTAAACAGGAATAAGTCAATTTTTGTTGTAAAATCCTGCACTCGGCTCCACTTTTCTCATGTTGGACATTTTTCTGATGAGGGTGTCACGGTCAACAGTCAAAACGATCGTCCTTTAAAAGAGGCGAGGATTCATTTGAGCTGCTCTGGTGGGAGGCCTCCATGCACAGAGACGCTGCTGTGATAAACACCGCAGAAAATTAACAAGATTTTAATAGAAAATATAATTAAAATATTTTAGTAGGGCCAGATTAAAGGTCTTGGAGGGCCAGATCTGGCCCCCGGGCCGTATGTTTGACACCCGTGCTATAGGCGAGTTTCAGTTGACGTCATTGTTATTAAAAGCCCGCGTTGCTGCTGGGAAATATTTTGGTCGGAGGAAAGAAACACGGTAGCGTCAAACACAGTGCGTAACCTCGTGTATTTCTCCCCGATAATGGTAAAGTCCTGCTGCATTATCGGATGCACAAATAGAAGCACAGAAGAAGGAAAATGTCTTTTTCGTATTCTGAGTGAAAAGAACCACTAACGGTGAATTAAACGACTTTCAAACATCCGCAGAGCAAACGTAGAAGATCCTAACAAACCGTGGACTCCAACAAGTTCAACAACACATCCAGACTCTTGGAGGTTTTCATCTTTTCTGCTGTGAATGGCCCAGGAGTTTACACCAAGTCATTGTGGATATCGCCCAAGTGAATATTTGTCCAGGTAGTTGGAGATTCTGACCAGAAATTTGGTTTGGTTTCACCTTTTGTCGGGGTTGAAAAGGGTGATTTGTCGTCCATCGATGTTTATGACCAATTTCTGGTCAAATGGTCTTGGGTCGTCTGCCGTTAGAGTGGATAAATAACCGGGATCAATACCCTTTACGTGCTTTCTCGCTCCGTCCGTCATGTTCAATTAGTGTTTCTTGCCGCTGACCAAAATAATTCCCAGCATGCAACGCGCGCTTTTGTCAACAACAAAACTCGCCTATAAAATATGTCAGTCCTTCCAAGCAAATTTTTATCATTTTAAATACATTTTTTTTTTTTTAATCATGTCCCTTCATCAACAGTTCAAAGATGGAATAACACAAGATATGATGAAATACATCCATTTATTTACAGGATTTTTGGGTCTTTGAAATTTGGGAAATAATTTTTGTTCCATGTTTCATACATGGTCTGTTTAAAACATATGGAACAGTTTGATAAACTAGAGCACATATGTATCTGTTCAATACATTTTTATATCAGATGAATTAACTTGAAGTTTTGGTCTTGTTGTTTACTTCTGTTTGACCAGGTCCATTTACAGTTTTAATATTCACTCTGTTCATAATTGAGGGATTCTTTGGCGAGCTTCAGGTTGGAGGTTGGAGACCCCCGTCCTACACTGTCCCTGTGTGCTCTGTCTGTCTCTGTCTCTGTCTCTGTCTCTCTCTGTCTCTGTGTCTCTGTCTCTCTGTCTCTGTCTCTCTGTCTCTGTCTCTCTCTGTCTCTGTGTCTCTGTGTCTCTCTGTGTCTCTGTCTCTCTGTCTCTCTCTGTGTCTCTGTCTCTGTCTCTCTGTCTCTGTCTGTCTCTGTCTCTGTCTCTGTGTCTCTGTCTCTCTGTCTCTGTCTCTCTGTCTCTGTCTCTGTCTCTGTCTCTGTCTCTGTCTCTGTCTCTGTCTCTCTGTGTCTCTGTCTCTGTGTCTCTGTCTCTGTCTCTGTCTCTGTCTCTGTCTCTCTGTCTCTCTGTCTCTTGTCTCTGTCTCTGTCTCTGTCTCTCTCTGTCTCTGTCTCTCTCTGTCTCTGTCTCTGTCTCTGTCTCTGTCTCTGTCTCTGTCTCTGTGTCTCTGTCTCTCGTCTCTCTGTCTCTGTCTCTGTCTCTGTCTCTGTCTCTCTGTCTCTCTGTCTCTCTCTGTCTCTGTCTCTCTCTGTCTCTGTCTCTGTCTCTGTCTCTGTCTCTGTCTCTGTGTCTCTGTCTCTCTCTGTCTCTGTGTCTCTCTGTCTCTCTCTGTCTCTGTCTCTGTCTCTGTCTCTGTCTCTGTCTCTCTGTCTCTGTCTCTGTCTCTCTCTGTCTCTGTCTCTCTGTCTCTGTCTCTGTCTCTGTCTCTGTCTCTGTCTCTGTCTCTGTGTCTCTGTCTCTGTGTCTCTGTCTCTGTCTCTGTCTCTGTGTCTCTGTGTCTCTGTCTCTGTCTCTGTCTCTCTGTCTCTGTCTCTGTCTCTGTCTCTGTCTCTGTCTCTGTCTCTGTGTCTCTGTCTCTGTCTCTGTCTCTCTGTCTCTGTCTCTGTCTCTGTCTCTGGTCTCTGTCCTGTGGTCTGTGGGGCTGGAGCTTCTATTTTCAGGATGAGTTCAACAAAGCCCCCTTGTCCTTGTCCCTCGTCCCTCGTCCGTCGTCCCTCGTCCCTCTGTCCCTCTCCTCCGCGACGGACTGAACTGTCCAAACAAACTCACGTCAGAAAAGTGAAACAAAAACAAAAAAACATTTAAATTCAATCTAATCTAGTTTTATTTCTTCAGCACATTTCATTAAAAAAACAGTTTCCAAAGTACTGCACAATAAAAGTAAAACATATCCAATAGAAATATAAAAAAATAAAATAAAGCTCTGTTTGACTGAGACTGAGACCGAGACCAGACCAGGACTGAGACAGGGACTGAGACCGGGACCAGACCAGGACCAGACCGTGATAGAGACCGGGACTGAGACCAGGGACTGAGACAGAGACCAGACCGGGACTGAAACCAGAACTTAGACCGGGATCAGACCAGGACTGAGACCGGGACTGAGACAGAGACCAGACCGGGACTGGGACCGGGATCAGACCAGGACAAGACCGTGATTGAGACCAGGACAAGACCGGGACTGAGGCAGAGACCAGACCGGGACCAGACCGTGATTGAGACCAGGACTGAGACAGGGACTGAAACAGAGACCAGACTAAACCAGGACTAAACCACGTCAAAACCAGGACTAAACCACGTCTAAACCAGGACTAAACCAAGACTAAACCAGGACTAAAACAGGACTAAACCAAGACTAAACCAGGACTAAGCTAAGACTAAACCAGGACTAAACCAGGACTAAACTATGTCTCAAACAAGATTTAACAGGACTAAATCCTGCTGTGTGGACGTGTTTCTTCTTCTTCTATCAATAATATTTTTTATTTGGTTCAGTAAAGTCTGGACTTTTTATTTTCTTTTATCAGACAAAACTTCTTATGTGAAGATTTCCTCGTCTTTGTTTCTCTACAGCAAATCAAGTAATCCAAAGTAATCAGATTACATTACTCACTTTAAGTAATTTAATGGATTATGTTACAAACTACATTTTGGTGTGTGTAATCTGTAATCTGTAGGGGAATATGTTTTAAAAGTCACTTTCCCAACGCACATTTTAACTGTAATGTTTTTCTTTTCTGCTGCAGCCAGATTCTCCAGAGGGACGACACACTGGAGGACTCTGGTAAGACTCAGGATTTGTTCAACGTATTTCCCTTTTTCATCACTAAACACCAAGTTATTAACGCTCCGTAGTCCCGCAGAACCGTCACATGTGGATCAGAACATGTTTTTGAGCGAGTCTAAAAACGGCCGTGTGTCACCTGCAGGGGGCGACACCACTCCGGATCGGACGAGAAGGCAAACGAAGGTCCGGCCATTCAGGAGAAGTGCTACGCTCCGAGGTTCCTCCAGATCCCCCAGGACCTGACCGTGGAGGAGGGCAGGTTCTGCAGGATCGACTTTAAGGTCCAGATACTCCACGTTTGACCACATTACACACACGTACACACTACACACACACACACGTACACACACGAACACACTACACACTACACACACATACACACTACACACTACACACACGTACACACACACACACGTACACACACGAACACACTACACACTACACACACGTACACACACGTATACACACACACACGTACACACACGAACACACTACACACTACACACACATACACACTACACACTACACACACACGTACACACACTACACACACGTACACACTACACACTACACACACACACACACACACACACGACACATACACACACACACTACACACTACACACACATACACACACACATACACAACACACACTACACACTACACACACACACACACACACACACACTACACACTACACACGTACACACGTACCACACTACACACTACACACACACACTACACACACACACACACACTACACACTAACACACACACACACACACACTACACACACACACACACGTACACACGTACACACACACACACACACACACACACACACACACACACACACACACACACACGTACACAACACCACTACACACACACACACTACACACACATACACACACGTACACACTACACACTACACACACATACACACACACACGTACACACTACACACACACACTACACACTACACACACACTACTACACACACACACACACACACTACACACACACACACACACTACACACACACACACACACACACACACACACACACACACACACGTACACACTACACACACATACACACACACACACACACACACACACACTACACACACGTACACACTACACACACTACACACACTACACACTACACACACTACACACACGTACACACTACACACACTACACACACGTACACACTACACACACGTACACACTACACACTACACACACTACACACACGTACACACTACACACTACACACTACACACACGTACACACACACATACACATACACACACACACAACATACACACACACGTACACACACGTACACACTACACATACTACACACACACTACACACTACACACTACACACACTACACACACTACACACTACACACACACACTACATGCACACTACTACACACACTACACACACTACACACACGTACACACACGACACACACACACACACACTACACACTACACACACTACACACACTACACACACGTACACACACACACACACATACACACACACGTACACACACGTTACACACTACACTACACACACACCACACTACACACTACACACACTACACACACTAACACACTAACACACACACTACACACTACACACACACACACTACACGCTACACACTACACACAACACTACACACACGTACACACTACACACTACACACACACACACACTACACACACTACACACTACACACACTACACGCTACACACTACACACACGTACACACACGTACACACTACACATACTACACACACTACACACTACACACACTCACACACTACACACTACACACTACACACTACACACACTACACACACGTACACGCTACACACTACACACACGTACACACACGTACACACGTACACACTACACACGACACACTACACACACACACTACACACTACACGTACACACTACACGCTACACATTACACACACACACACTACACAAACTGCACGTACCACACTAACACACTACACACACTACACACACGTACACACTACACACACTACACACTACACACACTACACACACGTACACACTACACACACTACACACTACACACACTACACACTACACACACTACACACACGTACACACTACACACTACACACACTACACACACACGTACACACACGTACACACTACACACACTACACACTACACACACGTACACACTACACACGTACACACACGATCACACTACACACACTACACACTACACACACATACTCACACGTACACACACATACTCACACAACCACTACACACACGTACACACACATACACACACGTACACACTACACACACTAACACACTACACACTACACACACACACACACACTACACACACTACACACACACACACACACTACACACACTACACACTACACACACTACACACACTACACACACTACACACTACACACACTACACACACTACACACTACACACTACAACTTCTGTGGCTCTTGTAAACTGTCTAGTGTATTTTGATTCTAGTCGCTGGAGAGAAATGAAATTGAGCGGAGACACTAGACCAGGGGACGGCGACTCAAACTGTTCAAAGAGCCATTTTGGCCTAAAAAAACAAAAACCAAACCTGCCTGGAGACGCAAAGAATGAAAAGTCTTTTATAAACCTAATATGAAGGCGACACAGACTCAGGATATGAACTTTATAAACCGACTATTAAAATGACTCAGTCGACTTCAAATACAAAAGAACATCATGATGCGTCTGTGACCCTCTCACACTCGCTGCTCCGTCTGTAGCCGCTGAAATCAGGTGTTAGTGTTTATTCCTTTGTCGTTTAGGCCCCGTTTACACGGACACGGGGATTTTTAAAAACGGAGACATTTCCCTTCGTTTACACACAAACGGCGAAAACGAATCTTTCTAAAAACTCCGGCTGGAGTGGAGATTTTGGAAACTCCGGTTTCACGTTTACGTGTAAACTGAGATAAACGGAGTTTTAGGAGCTGACGCGCTGAAAGTGACCGACGTTTACCTGTTGCTATGACGACGATGATGAAGTATTCAGAGCAGCAGTCACATTTCTTCTGATCGTGCAGCAGCACTCAGAAAACAAACCCGGAGCAGCAGCACCAAACACACGGGGCAGTCAGCACAGCTCCTCAAGACGGGGCTGAGGCTCCAGTGTTGGTCAGATGGTCCAGAGGCTTCGTCCTCCATGTCCTGGTTCCAGACGGAGACGAGTGAGACCAGCGCAAAGAACTGGGTCCGAGTGGTTCAGTGCCGTCGTCAGTGCGCTGGTTCCATGCGGGAAAAGTGAGAATGTTCTGTGGACCACAGGTCGGCTGCTCTGGTCCTCTGCACTCGATGTGGTGCAGCATCCGGACAGAAGTGTGAATCCGTTTGGTTCGTTATGTTGTTCTGAGCGTTCGTCTGCGCACGTGTTTTTTTTGTTGTTTTATTTTTGGGAAAAGCACTTCTCAGGTGGAGGTGGACACCACCCCCACTTCAGCTCATCTGTTTGTTCTGCTGAAACACTTTTCATGTGTTTTGTTATGTTTCATTCACACACAGCTGATGGATCAGATCCATGAGCAGATGAACGAGGGTTTTACCCCTAAACAAACCAGATTAAAACAACAACCAAAAAAATCATTCCTTTTCCATTTTCACTCATTTTTGAAAAAGCTCCAGGGAGCCACTAGGGGAGAGCTAAAGAGCCACATGCGGCTCCGGAGCCGCGGGTTGCCGACCCCTGCACTAGGTGGCACCAGCCTGGCTAATCCCATAATGCTTTTCGATGTGATGTCTCTGTCTATTTTAGCAACTGTGAAAAAAACATTTAAAAAAAAGTCCCTCCCCTGTGTGCAGGTGGGCGGTCTCCCCACTCCAGACGTGAGCTGGTACCTGGACGGTAAAGCCATCCGCCCCGACGACTACCACAAGATGTTGGTGTGTGAGAAAGGGCTCCACTCCTTCATCATCGAGATCGTCACCGTGCACCACGCCGGAGTGTACGAGTGTGTGGCACGAAACAGAGCCGGAGAGAGCAGGTTCAGCATGAGGCTCGACGTCATAGGTAAGACACTCCATATGTGTTTATATATGTGTTTAAATATGTGTTATATATGTGTTTATATGTGTGTTTTTATATGTGTTTTAAATATGTGTGTATATATGTGTTTAAATATGTGTTTATATGTGTTTATCTATGTGTGTATATATATGTGTGCCACGTTTACATGAGAGCTTTAATTCCAAATAAAAATAATTTAATTCTGAATCAAAATTAATTCCGCTTTAAAAAGACCATGTAAACAAAAATGATTATTCAGAATGAACCTTAATTCCGAACTAAGTGTTTGGTTTATTCCAATTTTAAAATCGTATGAATTTCATCCTGGATCATGTTTCACGTTTATTCTTGTTAAAAATAATGCTGGTGCTTCGGCGCCTGCTCGATCCAGACGATCCGACTCCACCAGTCCTGACTTCAGACTTTCCTCCTCGTCTCTTTGGATTTGTGAGCAGGATGTGGGAGTGAGCTGAGGTTTTGTCTTCTTCCTCCTTCTCCGACACTCTTCCCTTCTCCTCCTCAGCCGACAGACGTAAAGTGTGATGAGACAATTCTCCAGCTGCTGCTTCACAATTATCATCAGAACAACAGAAAAGCCGGGAGCAGCTGAAGTGTGTGTTTTCTTCCAGTCGACATAAATCCGTTGGTGTCTCTGCCCAATCAGAACCTTCCCCGCCCCCAGACGCTGAGCGGAATTAAATAAAGGCAATTTAACGTATTTTCCAATGTAAACCTGAATTCGGAATGATTATTTCCATGTAAACTCCCAGGAGAAAATGTTAATTCAGAACTATTTAATTCTGCACAATTAATTCTGAATTAAAAATCTTGATGTAAACGTGGGGATCTGCACTGTTTACCTTTTTATATAAGTTTATATAAACAGATAAGTTTATGTTTCTGTATTGAACGTGCTCTGTCCTCCAGCTCAGGAAGCCCTGCGCCCGCCCGCCTTCGTGCAGAAGATGTTGAACTCCCGAGCTCTAGAGGGCGACTCTGTGCGGTTAGAGTGTAAAGTGGACGCCTCTCCTCCTCCTCAGCTCTTCTGGAAGAAGGACAAAGACATGCTGCGCATCGACCCCAACCGCATGAGGTCAGTGCACTAGTGTCTGTAAGAGTTTAAACTGTCACATTATGAGGGTCACTTCCTATTTACGCCG